TTAACACATTTAATTTCCCCACATCACACCTTCAGTTTCACGATCGTTCCAGCATGGAAACATGGGTAGCATATTTTGAAAAGCACATTAGCGGCATTAAGTGAACCAATCTTCCACCGAGCTGCTGCGAAATATGAAGAGTGTGTTTGCTGATTGTCAAAAGAAACACACAAGCTAGGCCAATTCACAAGCAGGTCTGAAGACACCAGGGAGCTTTAAAGGAAACGATGAAAGCACTTCCTGGAGGGACTGAATCTCGGCATAGTGGGAACAAGATATTTGGGGTAAAGAGGGAGGGAGGGAGGGAGGGAATAAAAGGCTGACCTAGATCCGCCTTTCACTTGCTCCTTCCCCCGGAGTAGGTGTCCTGAACCCCGAGGCCGAGCTGGCAGGCCTCCAGCGAGTACAGAGGGAGCAGTGGAGGGCAGAAAGGACGATAAACAATGACTGTGCACTCTCAACCTCTGCTGCTCAGGCTTCTGTGCTGTATTCCCCTGGACACATCCTTGCAGAGGAAGAAAAGCTGGCAGCTGGCATGCTCTGTCACAGTCCATTACGTCATCACAACACTGCTGCACACGGCACACACACACACACCTGCTGCTGGCTGCTCACCTCCCTGCCTGGCACTCACTACACACACACACACGGCCCACCGATACAATCAGCACTCACAGATTCAACAAACCAGATTCGAAACACCAGAGAAAAACTTCTCTGATTTACTTTAAAGGAGTGCTGATGCCGACACTGACGACATAATGATGATGACAACATATTCACAATATAATCCAATTTTGCCCAATGTTTACTTCAAATATTTGCGAACAGACAATGTGCACTTTTGGCAAGGAAGACAATTGTTCATTGTTATAGTTGTTAAATGGCTAATTGGGACAAAATGATTGGTAACAATATATTTATACAATATAAGGTTTCATTTAGATAACTACAATACTGCATTAGTTAACATGAACAATGAAAACGCTTCTAAAGCTTGTATTAATATTTTATTAACCTCATTATTAAAATCAAAAGTCGTCTCTGATATTATTATTATTAAACGGACCTGAGCTGACGAAAATCTGACCAGTTGGATGATGAACAGTTGGATTTTTATTAGCTAACGTTAATAAAGATTAATAAATGTAACAAATGTATTGCATATTGTTAATGAATGTTAGTTAATGCATTATTACCTAATTGTAAAGTGTTACTAAATTAAAAAATGACTAAAAATGTTTGTAAATTTTACAGAAAAAAAAAGTTAGGGCGACATTTTTAAAATGGTTTAACATTGCATTACATGTCATTTTACAGACTCAAATGTATGGTTTATGCAAGTAAAAACTATGAATTATCATATAATTAAACTGAAAAACAGTAAAACATTACCTGAAGTCCTTGGGTGACTTCACATCTGACGTCTAATTAGCATTAGGATGTTTTTTTTTTTTTTACCATGTCTGTAATGTAATGTTTATTGCATCATTATGTCTTTGTGTGCATGTTTGTGTCAATATGTGAAAACTGGCCATGTTTATGTACACTGTGTACATGAATTCTGATTCATCATGTGGCTTTCTGTTTTACACCTGTATGGTGGTTATCAGTACATTTTGAGTTAAAAAGCAGCTTTTGGAAGTTTAGTACATATTATTGGTACATTATATCACTTAATGAAATATATGTTATAATTGTCACTGTGAATTTCCAGCAATGACAGCTATAGTTTTTATCATACATGTAACAGTTTTTTATTAAATAATCTGTACCACTAAAGTATAACAATGGCTTTAAAGTAATGATATAATTCAGTGCTACTATTCTGTCAATGTTTTTGGACATTTTGAGCAAACCAACATCTGCCTTTTTGTACTTTTGTGCTGTATTTAAAAGACAAGAGGTAATCATCCATGTTTACAGTATTACATAGGATGTCGTCAGATATTTCAGCGAGCCAAGAAAATGTCTAAAGACACGCTTACGTGCCATCAAAACATGATTACTCAGAATTATTATCATCACAAGGATTGAGAAATCATTCCTGCATTTGAGATTTCTTTCCATTTTACTCACAACTTTTGTTCGCTTGTACTGCAAACCCATCCCAACAGGCCTTTAAATATCAACAGGTCAACACAATGTTGGATTGTGACAATAAAACAAACACTCGTTCCTCATGAAGGCAGTTTAAAGTCTTCACTCTTGAGAAATTCCTCCCTTTTTTCCTTCTTCTAATCCTCTCTAACACGCAATGATTGTCTTGATGTGTGTAAATCGTATGAAAGCCCTGAGGGAGTGTGTGTGTCATCTAGGAGCCACAGTCCTCTCAGACTTCTGAAGGCTGAGAAATAGGATGCTCTCAGATTGACTGTAATAGAAAGCGATCTCCCGGCTCCCGTTTCATTCCGAGCTACACATGAAACAAAGGCTTCCTCAAAGAAACACAAGCAGCTCCATGCAAGAAAAAATGTGTGTCTTGAGTCTCCTATTAAAAGAAATCACATCCGTCTCGGTTAATTATCTCTTATTAAACAACTTTTTATTATTATCATTATTGTTGTTGTTCCTCTGTTTGAGATCACAACAGTTCATTAAAAAAAAAGCCCAGAAAAACCTGGAAAGATTTAACCACATAGTCAGGACTGTGGAAACCAAATATAATAATTCAAGATTCGAAAAACTTCAATCGATCAATCACTAATATGAAAAGTGTGTAGGATTTTACATTAAAACTGTTGTTATATGTAACACTTCTCAAATGTCTCACATTTTATAAATAAAAAAAATAAAAAAAACACTGAAAACATGTACTAATGTCATAAAGTAAATATATATATATGTATATATATATACATATACATACACATATACATATATATAAGTATCTCTGAGTTCTTGTGGTTTGTCGAAAAAATATTTGGAGGGATCCACCAAAACAAATAAAAAGTCATCATCTCTGTTATTGCATTAACTTAATTATAGTTTTATGCATTCTGTTTCTTTATATGAAGTTAATAGCATAATTAGTAAGTACTATACAGTATCATGACATACAGTTTTTGAGCTAAATCTTTCATGTTTGATATTACACAACATCATTTTATGAAAAATTAAGAAATATTCATACCACAATAGGCAAAACACCAAATCAAAATGTCAATTGTGTGTCCCTGTAAAAACTCCAACAGTCTTCATCGAAAACAATTAAGGAATTTAAACTTTGGATAATTAGTATTTCCCTTCAGAACAGCAGGGTAATAAAACTCAAAATATTATATAAAAACAACCTTTACAAGCACAAGTAATGGTTCATAAAAGAAAAAATGAAATGGGAAAACTACTATTAGACTAGTGTTGCATGGATCACTGAGAAAAATCTACTAGCTACAATTGAAAAGAGTGAAATAGTTGGGTTTGGTTGTTTCCGTATCCCCAGTGTTTGTGCTGTAACCCTCCGTTCATCCCGGAGTAACAGACCTCCCATAATCTGCGGGATTTCACAGACTCCTGTCCAGCCAGTGCTTAGCAGCCAGCCATCCGCGCTGCTTTACTAAACTGCTTGATTTACAAGCGCCCAAGGGGCAGTTTTGGAGTCCAAAGCATTCATTATTAATGGATGTGTAGTGTTGACATCATGCCAGAATCCATACAACACTTTCATGCTTATGGAGCAATTCCAATATAATAAACTGTAAAGGGGACACATGCATTTCATAAATAGACCCTCTGAAGTCGGTCCTTTACTACAGACTTACTACAGTCTCAGATACTCAGTCCAGACATAGAGTGATGCTGATGTACATGCAGAATTTGCTCTCATTCATCTTTCTTCCTGAAGCTGTCATTCTGTAGAACATCTTTTGTGTTTCACAGAAAAAAAAAAGACTTTGTAAATAATAGACTTTGGTGCCACTTTATATGGAAGGGTTATTTGTTCACCAAAAAATTATAATTATCCCCTCAGGTCAGAGTTCACTCTTCGGCCAGAACTATAGTCTATAAAGTTATAAATATGGATATTTTTCTTACACAATGCATTACTTTGCTTCAAAAGGCCTTTATACCCCCTATGGATTACTTTTATGATGGATGGATGCACTTTTTTGGGGCTTCAAAAAAAATTCACTCCCATTTTAAAGCTTGGAAGCCAGATATGTTTTTAACATAACTCCGATTGATATGAAGAAAGTCATATCATTATCCACCTGTCTTTAACTACTAAATATTGACATTGTTTGATAAAATGCAGTTATTGTGTGTGTACATGTTTTTACAATATTTGAAAAATGCCTGAATGTAATTACAGCTGAAATTAATTTCTGTAATTACATCTATAATTTCACTGTTGACCGTTCTCTTACACTTTTATCTAAATCCTTAAACCTAACCATCCCACCAAACCTGTCCCTGAACTTACCCGTATCCCACCTCAATAGCAGCAAAAGTGTTTCGCAATACAACATGAACACAATAAGTACTGACTGAAAACAAAGTAAACGAAGAATATTTTTTCTTAGTGCATAGTAGTTAAAGACTAATATAAAAGTACACTACTCCTTTACACCAAAACATCCCTCAGGACGTTCCCAAACCATCCTGAACCTACCCATTATGGGTCCAAACATACTTAAGAGTGCCCTTACAGAGCTCATAGAAAAGAAACAAGTCGTTTAAAATACACAAAGCTATTTAAATGAACAGACCAGATTCCAGTATAGCAGCAGCACTTCAGTGTGTTTTGTTCTGATTTATTATGAGAATGCAACACATCATCAACAATAGTCATGATGAGAGCAAAACAAGCCCGAAAACAATCTGTTGTAAGACTTTTTCGATTCAAACGAGCATTGCAGCACTTAGAAGTAACCTGCCGGGTTTAGGGGGGATGCTGCTGGCACCTGCTATTAAACCCCACTGCGCACGCTTCTCCCAGCCTGCAACAAAAGGTCTGCTGATCGCTGTTTTTCGGCAGCACCTGTGCTGATGAGACTGACCTGAATGGTGCAGGTATACTCCGTATCATCCAGCAGTCTGACCGTACACATGTATTCTCGCTCCAGGTTTCTGACGCTGCCACTCATCAGCCGACTCAACATCATCTTCTCACCGCACGATCGCTGCTCTGCGTCCGGGACCAGAACAAAAAAAAGCTCAAGCAATGTCACATCGACCAAACTCTCCGGTCGCCCAGGTAAAACGTGCTAACCGAAGCCGACAGCATCTTTCTCCGATGACATGAACGCCGCGGGTGTTTTATTGTAGGTTATTGCGAACAGGTTCCTCCAGCACGCACACATCCAGGTCCAGATGAAGTCTGTGGTTACGAGCACGAGCAGACAGTAGCAGAAAGCCCGACCGTGTGTTGACCATTCACCGCTTGATATTTGAGCAAGGGGGCGGGACCAGAGAAGCTGATTGACACTCCTTCTAGCCAATGGTTACGCTCTCAAAATAAGGACTCGTTTGAAATGGACAATGAAAGATTGGGGTGGTGCTGCGTATTTGGAGGTCATTGTTGTCCAATAACATGCTGGATATTGGTAGTAGGAAGGTTATAAGGAAATACTCTTATTTTTCGGCTGCAATATTGGGTAACACTTTCTCTTAATGTGTCCTTGTTACATGTATTTACTATAGTAATAACTATAAATTAGGCATAATCACATATACAACTTACCCTAAACAAAACCCGGTAAAACTTTATTTTACAGTGTCCTTGTTATATACTTATATAACAGTAAATTATGCATATTTACATGCAATTAACCCTCAACCAAAACCTAATCCTACCCTAACCCTAGTAATGTTGTTAATTATTATCAGTCAGTTGGCTACTTAAATATATAAATCACACTGATGACAACTTATAATAAAGGGTAACCCAAAACCCTAGTCCTACCCTAACTCAATAGTAATTCAAATAAAGTGTAATCCAACCATTTCTTCTGTATTTTGCAGTATGACTCTAGTATGCATCAATAACAAAAGTATCTTACGAAATATCGCACAAGATTTTTCTGGCTACACTCTTATCGAAAAGATATAAATTGAATATTGTGAATTTTGTGAACTAGAAAAATAAGAGTATTTTAATCTTTAAATATTGTGTTCGTTCAAGATTCGTAATGATTTAGAAAACTAAATTGGGAGATATGTAGGGTTTTTGTTATTTTAAAAATGACAGTTTGTCATATGCAACATTTCAAAATGCTCAAATTTCACACATTTTATCAATCAAAACAAACAAAAACACTGAAAACATCTACTTCATAAAGCAACTGAAAACGATTTATTTTAATATATTTTTATTAATGTGAACAAGTACAAGTGTCTCTTGTATGTGGTACTGTGGTGTTGAATACTGTAGATCATCTTTGTTGCATAAACAATCTATAATTTCATGTATTCTGTTTCTTTTGTTTCATTCAACCTAAAATAAGACTAGTTTGCTGTAACTGAAAATAAAAATGAATTTATGACCTAAATACTTCCTCTATCCCATCACCATGTTTTTCATAAAATATCACAGAAATATGATTGCATTTTTACACAAATTCTACAAATGAATTAATATTGAATGATTTTAAAATCAATATCAATTCCTAGACTGCATTTGAATATGAAATTTGATCGCACAGGGAAACTCCAGAAGTAGCATTTTATCGGTTATTTAAGAATATTACACTTGATTTGATTTACAACAATTAGATATAAATATACATTAGCATGAGAACTTCTTCCTTCTATTGCTCTCTCTCTCTCTCTCTCTCTCAAACACACACACACACACACACACTTTTATCACAATTCATAATTAGTAAGCAAAAAGTAAACAATTAATGTAAGAAAATCCTTTGTTGGATCAAAACAAAGCCTTACTGTGTGTTTGTAAAAAGAAGGAACGTCACATAGTGAATTAATTCGAGTCATTTTCATCATTCTCCTCTGGTTCATTGCTGCTCATGGAGCTGGATTTGGCTGAGCTCTGTAATCGGTTCTCAGCCTTGCGTGTGTAGGGCCGAACAGCTCGAGGATGGTTCTGATGATGAGGCCATCTGATGTTGGACATGTGGTCCACAGAATGGACAAAAGCTTCTTGTCTCCGGTCCACTGGCTTCATCTGATTCAGCTTGCAGGAGGCGATGAGAGGTCTGCCTATGTCCAGCTCTTTGCTCTCAGTCAGACGTTCTTTAGTTTGTGTCTGGGTGTAGTGCAATTTCACCTTGATCATCAGAGATCCCTAAAAAGTTTTGAGAGAACTTTGAATAAATTGCATTTCTTAAATGGCTTTAAACATTATTTTTGACATCCATATATAACGTATTTTTCTACATCAGTGGTTTCAACAGCAACAATTATATCCCTACAATAAAACATTATTATGATGTGATGTCTCATATCATATATCATATCACATCATATATTATCATATCATATATTTAATATATATATATATATATATATATATATATATATATATATATATATATATATATATATATATATATATATATATATATTTAATATATATATATATATATATTAAAAAAATATTATATTGCATTATAACATTATATTATAACATAGTATATAATGTATTTATATAATATTATATATATATGTTAACACTTTACAATAAAGTTTAATTTGTTAACTACATTAGTTTAAAATAAATTAACTAACAATAAACAATAATTCTACAGCATTTTTTTATCTTAGTTAATGTAAATTTCTACACTTACTAACACATTTTTTAAATCAAATGTTAACAATGAACAATTATATTGTTATTAACTAACATTAAGGTCAAGTAATGCTGTAAAATTATTATTGCTCATAGTTAGTTCATTTTAACTAATGCATTAATGTTAACAAATCTGACCTTAAGTGTTGTGTAATGTAATGTAATGTAATATAATATAAATGTTTGGTTTCTCTATGTCCCATCACACAAAATGCATTGTGGTATTTTTATTTTAAAAGTTAATAAGCCTTTTTATGTTGCTTTCCTAACTATGCATAATTAAAGGTGCCATATGTATTTTTAGCGGCCTCTATCGGTGATGTTTCAGATTGCAACCAATTTTTACAAGAGCGCTCGTGCTCGAACACAAGAGCGAGCACTCATGGTACCGGCCACACTGAGACTTTCAACACACCGGAGAAAGCATCACACAACATGCTGGAAACTCATGTAAACTCCCACTGCAACGTTACAATAATAGGCTACTTTTATCAGCTTGACGTTGAACTAATGCTCCATGCTCGTACCTTGATAACGTTACATTGACTGCATTTAGCCGACATGTGATGTTATCTAGCATAAGGCATTTCACTAACTATTCGTGTCTTTCACAATCAGGCAGCAATGTCAACATAGATGAATGTATAATATGATAACGAAAACGGTTAGTGACTAGACTGAACAATGTCAGTGTAACAGTAAGATCGTAGGAAGTAACATTACTGTACTGAACGTGTCGGAAATGTGTATTATAAATAGAGCCCGACCGATATGGATTTTTGGGGGCCGATGCCGATACCGATATTAGGGAGTAAAAAAAAGCCCGATACCGATATATCGGCCGATATTATTTATGTGTATATTATAATACAGTAGCAATATTATAGTACAGTATACCAGTCAAAAGTTTGGACACTTTCCTATTGGTGTGTACAAACTTTTGATGGGTACTTTACACAGTATAAACAGAATAAATATATTTTATAAACACGTTTTGCAGTGATCACTCAAATGTGGTGATCAAACTCTTGTGTGACACAGATATGTAATGGAGGCAGGGAGAATGATAGAGTGAGAATTATACAGTTGAGCTGTAACCAAACTAGTTTGCATTGCATGTTATATTATATTATATTATATTCTAAATACTGTTGCATAATCTTCACTAACGACTTTGTCTTTTAATTTAGTCATAACTTCTATCAATAAATATATAAAAAGTGTCATTGACAAAACCTTATTATCTTCTATTTTTAGTCTTAATTCCTCTAATCTCTACCAGTGGAGGAAGAACTCCGATCTTTTTACTAAAGTAAAATGAATAATATCATAATGAAAACGTTTTTAATTACATATGTACAGTACTTTTATACTATTTTAAATAATTAGTAAGAAAAATGTACTAAACGTGAAACTAGGCTACTCTTAATGCAAAATGGCCCTATATAAAGTGTTATAATTATATAAATTATTGGAATATAGCTTGATGTTGTAACGTAGCGTTATAGGCAGAATGAGCTTTAACACAGTGTCTACACCGGACGCGGCCGTTAATGCTCGCGTCGCAACAGCTGTTTACCCTACAAAGCAGAATCAGTTTACTGTCGGAGATTTGTCGCTCGCGCCACGCATTTTAATCAATGTTTCATCAACCAATTGCCTGGATTTATTAATAAATAAGAAGTAAATATAGCAGACAATATAATCAGGACTTCTCAGCTGCGCGCTTGCAATAGTTACAAGCTCACACAATGTGTGACAGAGGCTGGTAGACAGAGAAATCAATTCTGTGAATTACACTGCGCAAATCACAAGTAGGCTACATAAAATATTCATTTTATTTTATTTTATTTTTCGTGTTCGCATTTATGAGGAAAAAACAATGTTACAGACGCGACAGTTCAGCACTACGGACGTGAGCGCTCTGAAAGCGGCACTAAAATATGCTTTGAAACTTTCACATAGACATCAAACAGAAAGCACAAAACCTTTTGTTTCAAACTGAATTTCGTTTTGTATTAATTGTATCTTAATTTTAATCAATGTTTCAACAACCAATTTTCTGGATTTAAGAAGTAAATATACCAGACGATAGATAATCTCGACACGGAGGTGCCTGCGGGTGAACTGGAGCTCGTCTCATGAACCGAAACTCAGCGTATAGACCTGAGAATTGAAATATATCTATATTGAAATGTCTACTTTTAAACAGAAAAATTCAAAACGAAAGACAGACAGACTTATCTAATCGTATGAAATGTGCATTTCTCTCTGGCGAGCGTTCACTGAAGATCGCGAGTCAGCATCGTCAACTTCATCATTGGCTGACACTGACTGAAAACACTTGTTTATTAATAAACAATTAAAATGTCTCCTTGCTATATTTTTTGTATTCATAATCATTACTTTTGCCAGTTCTTTGTGACAGATTTTAGGTGCTTTATTGGCAGCGCCACCCTTACATGAATCACCGCACCGCATTTTTTAAAATATTCATTTATCGGCCATTATAAATGCCGATACCGATAGTTAGGAAAATGCCTAATATCGGCCGATATATCGGTCGGGCTCTAATTATAAACAATATGATAGTAGTGGGATGAGTGACGTTAGACAGTAGATCTAGTACATAAAATAAAAGTTACATCCTAAAGCACCTACTTTTTGTTATCCTGGAACAGTCTTTTGTATTCATTTCATATCTCATGTATGTTGTAGTTTACCTTGCTATTTCATTACAGTTTACCATTATTTATTTCAGCATATCTGAAAACTTGTAATTTATCACAATAGAAATAGCGGAGGTCTCGCCATAATTCAAACGCTCTGCCGATGTTGATCCGTGTTTTAATTCTAAAGGTTTTTTAATTTGAGACAAATACAAACTTTAACTTGCAAACTGCAATGCAACAGTGAAAGTCCAAAGTTTCAATCCTACTCAACACTATTTCTTTATTCATGATTGATATTGTATTCCATATAATCTGTGCTGGTCAATTAGTCTAAAATTAAGAAACAGTAATAAAAAAAAAGTAATAAAAAAAACGGTGTGTAGCCTACATGTTATTTATTTTAAATTGGCTACTTAATTTATTATTCCAATATACAAATATGATATTAAATCCCACAGGGAAAAGGGCTTATATTTGTGACGTGCTGTTTTTGCATTTGGACATTAGGCTACAAACAGGACACGCATTAGCTGAATAAACTTTAGCCAATCCAAACATATTTATAGAAAACAGTTAACATTGAATAGACAGGAGTCCTGTCACATGACCAATAATATAAGTGTTCGAATAAGACGAATCCGACATGAGGGCTGTTAACAGTAAAGCGTCCGTCATTTAACGAATTTTAAAAACACGAATGGAAAAAGCTTTGACATTTTGACATAAAAAAACACAAGCAAGAACTTTGCAATTTTTATTGTATAAATATCTTCTCTCTCTGTGTGCGCGAGTCTGTGTTTGTGAGAGAGCTCGCGCAGCACTGATACATGATAGGCTATCATACAACGGTAATTTTTAATCCATAAATTCGCCAACTAACTCGCTAGATTTCATTCAAAATAAATATGTAACATAATTCGGTACTTTAGTTAACATAATACATAACGACACGTAACACATGCGATACGTTTCTCAACACTCATAATGAAAAAATAAATACCTGTTTCTTCGGATTCAGTCATCCACACATCACAGCACTTTCATAATCACTAAGACATAGCGATTTCAATTTTATTTAGATTTATTGTTCAACATTACTTGAGCATTTTAATAATTTGCATGGCTGAATGTCTTTCTCTTATCTGAGTTACCATGAATGAATTACGGAGTATTTTTTTTAAATAATCCATGCGATCACTCCCGTCCTGTGTGATAACCAATCCATTTTAAAATGAACTCAAATACAATATTTCAACTTCCCACATCCACCGCAGCCCGTTTACCTTCAGGAGTCAGAAGTACCGTGACTGTAGGCCGACTGTCCTCGCTTAAATCAGAGACGGCGGGCGCGTGCGAGTGGAGCGTGGATTCTTTATTGGTGTCGATTTTCAGTGTCTTTTTAATTATAGGACTTACGCATCTGTCAATCATCTCCGCTTGCAATGTGGGGAATGAACCCAGCGCTATGATTGGTCGAACTCTTCTTTTGCTGTTGCTTGATTTGAGGACTGCGCGTGCAAAGGGGCGTCACCAGGTTTTTGCGTAGTTTAGAGTGACAAATCGTACCAGCGTACTTTGAGGTCAAAATGCATGCCCGCTACGCAAAATGCGTACATGTTGGCAGGTATGCGAGCTTCAGCAGATACATTTTTGTTTTGTTTTTTATATTTATGTGGAGTATGTGTTGGACTGTGTGTTGTGCTGGAGGCAGGTCGTTTTTGGGTGTTATCAGAGTCCATGTCGTTCGCTGCAGTGCCGTCGCATAGACTGTATATAAAAAGGAGAGAGGCTCGGGAGCGCGCATGCACGTCACATCCGATGGATTTCGCAGAAAATCCGACCCGGAGACTTCACATAGAAATAGGAATACTATACTGGCCTTCAGAGGTAATAGCAAAACCCGACAAGTGGATCATTGTAATGTGTGATTACAACCCCTTCCCACACAGGCGATAAAAAAAGGATTCATTTTAGAAGAAAAGTTACATAGAGCACCTTTAAATGCTGGGTTGCATTTTACATTTGCATATTACATGCTCTCCAGAATATAATATTCAGCAATAAAGACACTATTGGATGAGAACTGAACTAAGCTAGACGATGACATTACTGTGTTTTACAGAGATGCTTTATACTGTAGCTGAATTGAACCCATTTCATAATGGACAAACTTTACACAGTTATTGAACGAAACTGAATTGAACCCAAACAATGACACTATTGTCTTTTTAGAGCTGTTCTACAGCAGAATTTAATTCTGGTGGCATCATAGAAATTTTTTTTTTTCCTGTTTATCACTGGGAAGCTGCTTTGAAATAATCTGTCCGGTATAAAGCGCTATATAAATATAAATGGCTTGACTTGACAGAATAAACATGTGACCCATTTTGGGTTTGTGATTGACCAGTTGGCAACCAAGTCTTTTTAAACTGAACATGTATTTCATTTCATTTCACAATGTTTTAAAATGCATTTCAGATCTATTTTACAGAGAAATACTCCTTAAATGTACCTGGAGTCTTTGAAGGCAACATAATCTGAGGGTGCAGTCAGGAGTTTCACCAATGCTCACCAGGAGAGAGTCCATTTCTCCCGATCTGCCAGATGCTGAGAAAATGTCTTGCATTTGCTAAAAAAAACAAAAAAATAAACATATCACCATTTAAACTGTAATCAAACAAAAAACAGGCACTATAGAGCCAGGTTAAGTGACCGTACCCAAGGAAGTATTAGACTTTTTCACCCCTAGAGGTCAGTAGACTCACAGTTTTGTTTTAAAGTCATCCTATTGTTCCTTCACAAAGGTCATCCACTACATTGTAATTTTAGTGGACTTAAAAGCTCATTTAGTGGAAGATTAATAATGCCTCGGTGTTCTACAGAGCGATTTAGAAGGTCTTTTACTCCGAATGCAGTTAGGTTGTTTAATGAAATTGTGTAATTTCTTGTATTGATTGTTGTTGTTTTCTGTCTTTGTTTGTTTGTGGTGTCTGTAATGTGCAAGGGTGGCGAATGAGTTTCCCCTTACAGGGATTAATAAAGTTTTCTTACTTACTTCTTTCTGTTGAACTGCTCTGTTGAAAAAATCTTTTGTGCTAATAAAACTGCACCAAAAATCATATCTATCTATTTCCTGTATGTATGTTTATATATATATATATATATATATATATATTAATAAATACTATAATAGTGTTCAGTGTCATTGCATGCATGAACATCCATATATTACAGTCATAAGTTTAGAGGAGTTTAAGAGGCAAATTCAAATAGAAAACACACGAAATCCGCTCTCTCCCATCCCGACTCTCAGATCCTCCTTCTCTATGCATGTGTATGTGTTTGTGTCAGCAAAAGAGGACATGAAAAGCTGCGACTTACTGGTCGACTCTCAAGAATCAGAGTGCAGTCCTGGGCCACGGTGTTTGTGTTCCTCACTATACCGAACACAACCAGGACGTTGGAAAAAAGGGCAGAGAAACTGAGCTCCACCTGAACACCACAGTGCTTAAAGTCCAGAGATCTTCGGCCAGGAAGAACTGCGGAAAACATCACCATACACATAAATACACATGAAGTCAATGAATATAGTTTACATTGCTGAGGAAAAAAAAACAGGAAACACACATGACAAAGACCATAAAGTAGATCAGTATATTATTAAGTACAGTATAACTATTATATGTGCCACTACAAAAGTAAGATGTAGTGCTGCTATATTATGACTATTTATAATAAAAGGCCTTGTACACTGCTATTCAAAAGTTTGAGGTTAGAAAGATTATTCTTTTTCTTTAAAGAAATTAAAAGTTTTATTCAGCAAGGATGCATTAAATTGAGCAAATGTGACAGTATTTACATGTTATAAATTTCAAATAAATGTTGTTCTTCGAAACGTTCTATTCATCAAAGAAACTTGAAAAACATGTATCACAGTTTCCACAAAAAATATTAAGCAGCACAACTGTTTTCAACATTGATAATAATAAGAAATGTTTCTTGAGCAGCAAATCAGCATATTAGAATGATTTCTGAAGGATCATGTGAGACTGAAGACTGGAGTAATTTGCCATCACATGAATAAATTACATTTGAACATATATATATATATATATATATATATATATATACACTCACCGGCCACTTTATTAGGTACCCCATGCTAGTAACGGGTTGGACCCCCTTTTGCCTTGGGAACTGCCTCAATTCTTCGTGGCATAGATTCAACAAGGTGCTGGAAGCATTCCTCAGGGAGTTTGGTCCATATTGACATGATGGCATCACACAGTTGCCGCAGATTTGTCGGCTGCACATCCATGATGCGAATCTCCCGTTCCACCACATCCCAAAGATGCTCTATTGGGTTGAGATCTGGTGACTGTGGAGGCCATTTTAGTACAGTGAACTCATTGTCATGTTCAAGAAACCAATTTGAAATGATTAGAGCTTTGTGACATGGTGGAAGTAGCCATCAGAGGATGGGTACATGGTGGCCATAAAGGGATGGACATGGTCAGAAACAATGCTCAGGTAGGCCGTGGCATTTAAACGATGCCCAATTGGCACAAAGGGGCCTAAAGTGTGCCAGGAAAACATCCCCCACACCATTACACCACCACCACCAGCCTGCACAGTGGTAACAAGGCATGATGGTTCCATGTTCTCATTCTGTTTACGCCAAATTCTGACTCTAACATCTGAATGTCTCAACAGAAATCGAGACTCATCAGACCAGGCAACATTTTTCCAGTCTTCAACTGTTCAATTTTGGTGAGCTCTTGCAAATTGTAGCCTCTTTTTCCTATTTGTAGTGGAGATGAGTGGTACCCGGTGGAGTCTTCTGCTGTTGTAGCCCATCCGCCTCAAGGTTGTGCGTGTTGTGGCCTCACAAATGCTTTGCTGCATACCTCGGTTGTAACGAGTGGTTATTTCAGTCACTGTTGCCCTTCTATCAGCTCGAACCAGTCTGGCCATTCTCCTCTGACCTCTGGCATCAACAAGGCATTTCCGCCCACAGAACTGCCGCTCACTGGATGTTTTTTCTTTTTCGGACCATTCTCTGTAAACCCTAGAGATGGTTGTGCGTGAAAATCCCAGTAGATTAGCAGTTTCTGAAATACTCAGACCAGCCCTTCTGGCACCAACAATCATGCCACGTTCAAAGTCACTCAAATCACCTTTCTTCCCCATACTGATGCTCGGTTTGAACTGCAGGAGATTGTCTTGACCATGTCTACATGCCTAAATGCACTGAGTTGCCGCCATGTGATTGGCTGCTTAGAAATTAAGTGTTAACGAGCAGTTGGACAGGTGTACCTAATAAAGTGGCCGGTGAGTGTATATATATATATATATATATATATAAAAAAAATTGATTTTTTTTTTATCAAATAAATGCAACCTTGGTGAGCATAAGAGACTTCTTTCAAAATATTTGAAAATCATATCGACCCCAAACTTTCAAACAGTAGCGTACATAAAAAGAAATACAAATATTTAAACATATTTAACTCTCCTGTGCGTCAATATACGTAGTAATACTGTATGTGCTGGTACATGCAAGCATGTGTAAAGGTGTCAGAAAGCATGTTTCATATTTAAATGACAGCTGTTTAAGTTTTTAACTTGACAAATAAAATCTGTCACAGTCTAAAGTGAAAAATGGAATCAGTTTAAGTCAGCTCACTCGTTGCAATTTGACACTTTTTGGGAGGACATCCATTTCCTTTTAATGCAGACACATGGTTATGAATGATCCCTCAGTCAGCGGTGCTCTAACCATGAGTCATACATCACGATCTAACCCACAAAAGCTACCGAAGAGGAAGTCACAAACTGTGATGTTACGGGTGATGGAGCACTTTTGAGTGTAGGCACTGACACAGACAACCACTTGTTTTCCATTGCATTCAAAATCTGCTTTCTCATCACTGATGTTGAATATAGCATTTAAAGGGTTCACATCAGGAATCAAAAATAGAAATGTCCTTGATCTTTTTAAATAAAAATGATCAATGTGTTATGTAAGAATAATGTAGCTTTCAAATAATCAAAAATGATTTATTTCACATGTTAAGAACATTCTTTTAAATTAAGATCTTAAAGGTACAGCAGTAAAACCAGCCCACTGAATTTAGTCAAAGAGAGGGTGGAAAATGGTTATGTACCATAAATCTAAAATATAATTTTTGGTACATCATGAGTCCTTTACTCACATTTTACACTACCGGTGAAAAGTTTGTTTTTTATATCTTTTTTTGAAAGACGTCTCTTTTGTTCACCAAGGCTACATTTATTTGATCAAAATACAGTAAAACTGGTAAAATGGCGAAATATTATTACATTTTAAAATATCTGTTTCCTATTTAAATATAATTTCTTCCTGTGATGGTAAAGCAGAATCCAGGCTTCAGTGTCACATGATCCAGCAGAAATCATTATCATTTCTGTATAAAACAGATTGTGCTGCTTAATATTTTTGTGGAAATCATGATACATTACCACTCAAAAGTTTTCGGTAAGATAAAAAAAAAAATAATCGAAATACCATTAGCCTGTTTCCAACAAGCATCCCGTCGCCGGAGCTCCATGGTGTGTCCGGACGCTTGCACAGGATCGGTCAAGGCCCGTGGCTCTGTCAGAGTGTGCCTGATCTCTACTACCTGCCTTCCACGTACCAGTGGATCCTTTCCCAGATCTGGAAGAGAACAAAAGCTTTCATTATAAACCACAGGATACTTTTTCCTATAAGTAATAAATATATGATCTACACAGTTGCTGTCCCTTGTGCCATGTGATCAGTGGCCATCAGACTCTGAAACATGACGCAATCATGACTCGGCAAGTTGTTCAGTCAAATGGGAAGTTAAAAAAAATAAGGAACTTGCTAAAAGTAGTATAGCAATTCACTCCTATTAAATTATCAGCATGTCCGGCTCTCAAATAAGAAGAATGGACTAGATGCTGTTTTTGAGTGCAGAAGCACTGTTAAAAAATTGACAGGATTTTACAATTGTAATGTCACAAAATAATGCATAATTTTACTGTAAAAGCTTGGTCATTTTCTATAGTACCACAACAGAACACTGTAAAACCAAAATTGCATTTCATTGTGTGTCAAAGTGATTAAAAAAAAAATCCACAACAAATTTTTAATAAATGAGTAAAAATGCACTGTATAATAATATTAGATCAAAATTAATTTTATTTATATTGTACTACTTCTACTGAAGAAAAACCCCCAACTATATCAGTACAGAAACCAGTAGGCAGGAATATACACTGTAAATCCACACTAAGATGCTTTACAGCGCAATGCCGTAAGAAGTTGTGCTTCACAGTAACCAGTGCCGAAGCACTGATTTATGATCGTTATTGAGGAAGGAAGTGGTCTCGTACTTGTGGGCATGACAAACACAGTGATAATGGCCGTGGGACAGGGTGCAGACAGAGCAACAAGCATACGAGACAGGAACAGGGGGGTAAGTGGGGCAAACCAGAAGCCGTCCCTAGGTTAAGCGCTCTCAAATTTCCCCCACCTGAGCACAGCAGCCAGAGAATGAGGTCACATGCCTTGGCAGCTACAATATAAAAAGCCAAGAGCTGTTACCAAAGAGACCAATCAAACAACCAAATAAGCCCTCTGCATGGAGAGAGGGGATTATCTCAACCCTTAAAACATAAATCCACGTTCACATCATGCCGTGGAGGGTACGGATCAAGGAAGGAAACCAATGTCTGGCATACAGTAGATGTCAACCAGTTGTTGCTCTCATAAGTGCTCCAAGTATAAATCCGCTAATGATCAAAAGTACTGAAAGACTTTATTCACTACATCTCACAACATGGGGGAAGTATGATAATATAATATCTTGTTATTATAGTGCTTGCAAAGAAGCGCTGGTTTGCGATTGATCAAACGTTCTGGTTAGTGTTTGATCTGAACTTCTAACCCCATGACTCATTTAGCTAAATCATCGCCTTTTGAAGTTTAATAATCACATTATCGTATCAAGATTCCCCTATGATGCTCTATGAAATCCATTTTATTTTTCCACAAATTCTGTTTAATTTTATCCATGTGATCGAGTGGATTTCTATTGAAACGACAATAGGTGCTAAGGCACCTTAGAAGGGTGCTGACTATGTAGGCAGTAGGCGGTAAGGCAGCTCACTAATGATAGGCTCAGACTACGAGAGTTTTTTATTCCTAAACAACTATGAAATCTGGTTGCATCTTGCACATATGGATAATCTTCACAGATTTTCTTTTCTCAACTCTCAAACATCTCTCAAAGCACACACTACAAGACTTGAAATTGTGGCGCATCACACACACTACAACAGAGGTGCCCAATCCTGCTCCTCCCGACCGACTGTCCTGACATTTGAAAAGTTATATCATTCAAATCATAATCAACCTGATTTAAAATACTCAAATATCAAACATGGGTAACACTTTATTTTACAGTGTCCTTGTTACATACGTTAAATGTACTTACCATAGTAATAACATTAAATAATGCATAATTACATGCAACGAACCCTCAACCAATTCCTAATCCTACCCTAACCCTATAGTAAGTAAGTACATGTTGTTAATTAATATTACTCAGTACTTAAATGTATAATTACACTGTAACAATGGCACCTTAAAATAAAGTGTAACCCAAACATGTTTGATATTATCAGGGCAGTCCAGATGTGTCTCCAGGCAGATCGGGAGATAACATTTGATTAGTAAACACATCACATTACAAGATCATTTGGAACCAACCAAGGTCCTGGAAAAGAATAAATTAAGGATTAATCATCCTAAAACTCCAGTAGTCTAACGCCGGTTTCACACTGCACGCGTTAGCAGAGCGTAAGCAGCGCATGAGCAGTGCGTACGGTGAGCGGAAGCAGGACACGCGCGTTTTGCTTTCATACTGGCAGCGTTTGACGCGCTCGGCGTGTTTACAGACAAAGTACTCTATAATGGGTAAGTTGGCATTGCTTTATTTCGTTTTCAAATACATTTAAGAGAAAAGACTTGTCAAGAAGCTTATTTCATTAATTAATAGGCTATATTATATAACTTTTGGTTCATATTTGTTTTTGTTGACTTTGTTTTCTGTTTAAATTGATGAAGGTCATTTGATTGACTGTTTAAAACACAATAGATATCACACCAATGCGCTTTTGGGTCAAACTGCTGTGTATTTTGGCCATGATCAATGCATTGTCACTTTAATTCAGCGTAAGCCGCGCGGCAAAAATAGACAGGATGCCGAAACTATCGCGGCACTGCTGCTCCTGCTACGCGGTGCCGCGCCGCCTCTGCGTGCGGTGTGAATGCTCTAATCTGTTAACATGGGCGCCGAAAAAAAATACGCTCTGCTAATGCGTGCAGTGTGAAACCGGCGTAAAGGCTGATTAGCGTTGGACCTACGCCGGAGCCTCTACGCTATAGACTACGCGTTGGTTTTCATTTAGGGCCGTTACATAGTCAACGCGAGCAAGCAACGCGAGCTACGCGCTACTTTTCATTGTACACAAGCGTCACCGGCGATGCGTGAAATGCAATACACCGCAGTAGGGGGTAGTAGAGTCTAGAGTCGGGTCACGTAATATTCAGATCAAAATGGCAACTGAAGAGGAGTGCATATTGCTGATTTTACATCGGCGGCAACAAAGGATGTATACGAACAAGCTCGCATAACTTTTCCTCTTCGCCTGCCATTGTATTCAAATCTTCTTCTTCTGTAAACATAATAATATACCTTTTTATGTACATTACTTGCAATGTCACCCCCACCGACAACGCATAGTATTGCGTGCATCGGCGCGGCGCGTATCAAAAACTAGGATGACACATTTTGCTACGCATCGACGCATAATGGCGGCCGAAGCGTAGCGATGTGTAGCCTTGCGCACGCGTATGCGTACCGATGCGTTGACTATGTAAGGGCCCTTATACTTCTGCATCGTTGTCCGCGTTGACGCACAATTACACATGCAGAGGGAGCATGTAAAAGCCGGGGAGCGGTTCTAGCAGACCAATCACAGCGCTTGCGGTACGCGTAGAATTGACGCGTTGTTACATTTTTGGAGAGGTGCACATCAGGGTACACCAAAGGGTACGCGCGCTACACACAGGCTACGACGTAGCTACGGCGTGAGTTCGACGCAGAAGTATAAATTGGGCTTATGGTGCGTTCAAGTCATATATGAACGCACTTGAACGCCACCACAATGAACGCCACCACAATGAACGCCACCACTCAGGGCGTGTCACTGAGAAACATGGCGGAATACCACAATACTTAAATATTAGGCAGTGATATTGTCAAGGTTTTCTATTTACAGCGCAGTTAAGCTAATTGCTTGCACAGAATATGATGGCATTATAATATAACAATGCAACATGTAACGATAAAGTTGGCAGTGGCTTCATAAATTAATTAAAATCATTAAAAAACAGAGTACATCTGATGCCAATTTATTTGTTCTTCATTTTCTAGAACAAGAGTTTAAGAACCTTACTGTATTTTTGTGTAATTAATAAAGAGAAAGTACTCCGCCATCTTACTCCGACGAAAGTGACTTGAACGCGCCTGCCATCGTAGACACGACTTCCCACCTCGTACGTACGAACTTCCCAGGAGGACATGAACGCACCATTAAGCCTTGCTTAAAGGTGCAGTAAGTGATTTGCACAACACACTTGTAGCCAATCAGCAGTAGGGGGCGTGTCCACTCATGATGTGGGAGGAGAAAGCGAGCAAGAGGGAGATTTGAAGAAAGACTGTAGAAAGAGAAAAGCTCAGAGGAATATCACTGGAAAAAGAAGGGTTGTGATCAGGCAAGAGCTTTAGGTCCCACGCTAATATTAGAAAAGCTTGTCAGCGCTTTGCTTTATTTTCACAAAGAATTAATTTGCTTTGAGGAATGAGACATCCTCTCTTGCATTGCATGTTCGTCCATTTTGGGAGCAATGAAGGGAGGGGCGTGTTTGTTTCTCAGATATCGCGTAATGCACCTTTAAGATTTGTAACATAAGAGTGCTGGTAGGAGCACTCACCCTCAGAGACCTGCTCCAAGACACGGGTCACCCTCTCTGGCTGTAAGACATGTTTGTTCAGGTACTTGGTGAAGATCCCTGTGCTTTTGCCACCATCCTGGACCTCGAAAGCCTCAGCATCTTCACTCCTGTAGGAGCAAACAGCATGAGTACACAAGAAGAACACAATCATTGTTTTTTTCGATGTTCTGATTAAGGCTTGGAAGAATTGTCACCTAGTTATGACAGTACTTACGTGGCGTACCCATACACAGTGTTTCCCAGAGGAGCCAAAGGCTTGATTTCAGAGGGAGGACCTTTTTGTTTGTACCTGGAGGATATGAAATAGCAAAAACGTTGAACAGTGTAGCAGTGTGCCAAATTATTATCTTTTAACATTTCCGAAACTATTCCAAGAATCTGGAATTCAAGCTTTCTGGCTAACAATAAGCTGCACAAGTTCATTTTGTTTCTACAGGCCTACCATTTCCTGCAGGTGTCGAGGAGAATGACGTTGAGCTGGGCTTTTCTCTCCTGCATACTGTGCATCACTCTCTGTACGCACACACAGTTTTCAGTGCGGTAGGGTCGCGGAGCGTCAATGGCCACCAGGTAATTTCTGCCGGAGTGCTCGTAGCCATGGCCAGCATAGTAAAAAACAGCTGGGGAAGGAGAAAGTGGAGTTTTAATGGCCTACAATATTGTGCAATATGTTTCTTTCCTTCTCTGATTGAGTTCCTTACTCATATGTACAACATAACCTTTTATTTTAAATATTAGGCTACTTAAAAATGGAAATTCTGTCATCATCTACACACCCTCATGGCATTCCCAAACTGTATGACTTTCTCTGTTTCAAAGGAACACAAAAGAAGAATTTTTGTAGAATATCCAAGTCACTCTTTTCGATTTAATCACAGTGAATATGGACTTAAGATGTCAAGCTACAAAATGATAAAAGTATGCAAAGTACGTGAGAGCGCAAATCCAAAAAAGCGCTGTTGGAGTGGAAAGTTCTGGCCGTGATCTTTTGACGAATCCCAAATTAAAGAACACAGACGCAGCCGTATCATTTCCCTAATGACCAACTTTTTTAATCCACTTCAAATGTTGACAATATATATATATATCTACCCAATCTACCAAGAGCAGCGCAAAATAGAGTTTTGGGCGTTAAATAATGGTGCAAATACCAGTACATTGAGAGCGCAAACCTTAGTAAATCACCTTGCATGATTCATTTGAATATCTCCTCTCATAAATTTTGCGTCTGAAAGGGAAACTTCTACAAATGCATATGTAAGAAGGTCAGCCGCAAAAATTACTGTCCACGCCTTTTCAGCGCTAATTCAGTCAATCCTGACAGTAGTTTTTTAACGCATAAGCTCTGCACTGGGCCAAGCTGTTGGTAAATCTGGCCCCAAGTCTTCTTAAGCCATGACTGCTTTATGCGAGGACCAAAAAATAAGCCAAAATATTTACTGAATTTACTCTTGATGCATTCATGAAACAATCGTTTCATTGAAAAGATACTTTCACGAACCTGACTTCTCAGTTTTTTTCATTAACTCTGCATTCATGTAACAATCTTTCATGACCCTGACTTCTCAGCTTTTTTCATTAACTCTTTTCATTAACTTTTCATTCACTTTTGAAGTTAATGAAAAAAGCTAAGAAGTCAGGTTCATGAAAGTATCTTTTCAATAAAACGATTGTTCCAGTTCACAAAACCAATAACTCATTGATCCGGAGTCTGGAGTCAAAGATTATAAGTGACTAACAACATAAACGTCAGCTTGCTCATGACAACATACTTTGGAAGATTTGGAATAGGCCTATATCACATGAGCCTTTTTACGATCCTATTACAAGCCGTTTTAATGTCCCTTTTGAAGCTTGACAGCTTGAAATGGCCAAAAATGAACATTTTGTGCTTTAAAGAAGAAATGAAAAGTCATTCAGGTTTGCCAAGACATGAGGGTGAGTAAATGGTGACAGAATCTTGGCGAAAACTTGACTACATGAAAACTACACAATCTTACTTGCAGTATTTCATATTTTGATGATGCTGTGAGTGACTAACCATTGCTATTAAAGTAGTTATCAGCATTTCATATTTAAATATTGCTATAATCAGAGAAAGAGAATTCAAGGGGGGAAAAATGACAGCAGTGAAATCTAACCCACATTCTGTGCACAGCAATAGAGAGGCACGAATACAGAGTTGACTAATAACAACTAAACACTTTCCATTTTACTATTTTCATTATGAGGCCGGTTACAATACGAGTCTAAAAATAAAATTCCAATGTGAGTTAGATGAATAACCTGAATAAATCTGTTGGCTAGAAACATTATACCACAACTCTAAGTTTCTGCAGACAAAAGCAGCAAGGCACACTCCGGCCCACACATTTCTTATCAGCCTTCAACATACTGATGTTATTCTGAAAAAAGTCCTTTGGCTGAAAGTGCTGTGGTTTTTTTTTTTTTTTTTTTTTACCCATGACATTCACTGATACTGTATCACCGGAAAACAAAGCCTTTTTTTCCACTCAGATGGAACTTCCTCTAACTCATCACTGAGATGTTTGTTGAGCAACACTAAAAAAAAAAAAATTCTGAAGAACTTCAAATAGATTGTGTGTTGTCCACCACCATCTCAACAATTTCCAGCAGAAAACAGGTCAAGGTACTGAGTTGCACTGCTAACCGCAGGTTCAAAGTGAGAAATGCAGAAGATTAAAATAAGCGTGGTATTGCACACTGCAAGAATTTTTGCATCCAGGAACCTGAAACTTTCACCACAAATCAAGAAATTGCCCTGAGTATAAAACCTACATCCTGTGAGAAAAATTATTTTACAGTTAAAGCAGTCATGAAACACACCAGACATTTCCTAGAGGCTCATCGAGCAAACCCACAGCATGTGACTCACCATACACTCCAGGGTCCAAGAGCTGCAAGAACTTGTCAATGGCAGCCTGCATTTCCTGAAGGGTGAGATCAAGCAGAGAGACCACTCTAAAGCCAAGCTGTTGCAGAAGATTGGCCAGCTCATGGACATCCATGGTAGGGGCCATCAGACCAGGATGGTGGTTGTAATTCAGGTTCCCAATCAGTAATGCCACTTTGTCAGTTGCTTAGAGAAAGAATATTACATTTAAAAAAATATTTATATTTTTTAATAATACTTTTTAAAATTGTTTTTATTTTTTTATAATTTGTATATTTTATTATAAAACTAATTTAGATAATACATATATCTATATCTATCTATATATATATATATATATATATATATATATATATATATATATATATATATATATATGTGTGTGTGTAAATTGTTTTATTTTATTAATTATACTGTTTAATAAGTATTTTATTGGGTATTGAAGTAATTTACACACGCATATACTGTATATATACACACACATATATATATATATATATATATTTATTTAGGGCTGGGCAACGATTAATCGCGATTAATTGCATCCAAAATAAAAGTTTGTGTTTACATAATATGTGTGTGTAGTGTGTATAATTATTTTGTATATATAAATACACACACATGCATGTATATATTTAAGAAATATTTGCATGTATATACTTTATATATATATTTATACATAATATTATATATAAATATTTGATATATTAACAACACATTTTTCTTAAATATATACATGCATGTGTGTGTATTTATATATACAAAATCATTATACACACTACACACACATATATTATGTAAACACAAACTTTTATTTTGGATGCGATTAATCGCGATTATATAAATAAATATATACACAAAAAAAAAATAATAATAATAATATATATATAGAATCCTACACAAAAGACAGAGTTTGTGTATATATATATATATATATATATACACTCACCGGCCACTTTATTAGGTACCCCATGCTAGTAACGGGTTGGACCCCCTTTTGCCTTCAGAACTGCCTCAATTCTTCGTGGCATAGATTCAACAAGGTGCTGGAACCATTCCTCAGGGAGTTTGGTCCATATTGACATGATGGCATCACACAGTTGCCGCAGATTTGTCGGCTGCACATCCATGATGCGAATCTCCCGTTCCACCACATCCCAAAGATGCTCTATTGGGTTGAGATCTGGTGACTGTGGAGGCCATTTTAGTACAGTGAACTCATTGTCATGTTCAAGAAACCAATTTGAAATGATTAGAGCTTTGTGACATGGTGGAAGTAGCCATCAGAGGATGGGTACATGGTGGCCATAAAGGGATGGACATGGTCAGAAACAATGCTCAGGTAGGCCGTGGCATTTAAACGATGCCCAATTGACACTAAGGGGCCTAAAGTGTGCCAGGAAAACATCCCCCACACCATTACACCACCACCACCAGCCTGCACAGTGGTAACAAGGCATGATGGTTCCATGTTCTCATTCTGTTTACGCCAAATTCTGACTCTAACATCTGAATGTCTCAACAGAAATCGAGACTCATCAGACCAGGCAACATTTTTCCAGTCTTCAACTGTTCAATTTTGGTGAGCTCTTGCAAATTGTAGCCTCTTTTTCCTATTTGTAGTGGAGATGAGTGGTACCCGGTGGAGTCTTCTGCTGTTGTAGCCCATCCGCCTCAAGGTTGTGCGTGTTGTGGCTTCACAAATGCTTTGCTGCATACCTCGGTTGTAACGAGTGGTTATTTCAGTCACTGTTGCCCTTCTATCAGCTCGAACCAGTCTGGCCATTCTCCTCTGACCTCTGGCATCAACAAGGCATTTCCGCCCACAGAACTGCCGCTCACTGGATGTTTTTTCTTTTTCGGACCATTCTCTGTAAACCCTAGAGATGGTTGTGCGTGAAAATCCCAGTAGATTAGCAGTTTCTGAAATACTCAGACCAGCCCTTCTGGCACCAACAATCATGCCACGTTCAAAGTCACTCAAATCAACTTTCTTCCCCATACTGATGCTCGGTTTGAACTGCAGGAGATTGTCTTGACCATGTCTACATGCCTAAATGCACTGAGTTGCCGCCATGTGATTGGCTGCTTAGAAATTAAGTGTTAACGAGCAGTTGGACAGGTGTACCTAATAAAGTGGCCGGTGAGTGTATATATATATAGTCAACATTTGAAGTGGATCAAAAAAGTTCATCAAAATTATACATTTTTCAGTTATACATTTTTCAAAGTTATACATTTTTATACAAAACAAACTCTGTCTTTCATGTAGGATTCTCACGGTATATATATATATATATATATATATATATATATATATATATATAAAATGTGTGTGTGTGTGTGTGTGTGTGTGTGTGCGGCTGTGATATATATATATATATATATATCACAGCCGCACACACACACACACACACACAAAATATTATTATATATATATATACCGTGAGAATCCTACATGAAAGATAGATTTTGTTTTGTGGGGGAAATATTAAAGGTGGGAGTATTCTGGAACACAGGTAAGCACCAAGTCTATTTTTAACTTGATATGAGCTGAAAAAATCTTTCATCTGTGACCTACCCATAAGAGTGGCCGTTGGTAGTAGATCTGGAGGCGCTGTGGGGGAAACCAGAGGAAAATGTTTTGGTGAAAGTTGAAAGAAAATAAGAACAATGTTACAATTCTACTGTATTTTATCATGAAGCCCATATGTTGTGCTTTTCCACTAGTTTCACAACGGGGAAAAACCTCTCAGATTATTTGTGTTCCGTAATGTGACGAGAAAAAGGGAAGCTCTTATTAAGCTGGTTTCAGTCTAACTTTAGTTGGACGCTCATATATCTAGGGACCTATTTAGACCCAAAATACAGTTCAGTTCCTGATTGTCTTGAACTCCTACCAATTGTGGAAAGTACCAGTCATTTTAAACTATAGTGGAACTACAATGAGCACAAAGAATTCATGGCTCAGAGATAAAGACTGGATGGTTTCCTTTATTTAGGTTTTCTAAATTGCTTTTCGGTCTGACAGTGTAAATGAACAAGTCAAACCGAATCATGATGGCAAACGAAGTGAAAAATGCAAATGTTGTTAATAGCCTGTTTCTAGGATTGTCAATTTTAATGCATTAAGTAAGTGCAGTTAAAAAAAATAATTACATCATGTCCAGTGAACCATAAATACATTTTGTAATAAGTAAAATAAAAATAAACCATATGCAAATACAAAAAAAAACTCTTTTAAATAAACATAGAAATTTTACAAATGTGGCAGCGACGCTGATAAACAAAAAAAAATAATACAAAAAACATGTTCTTTGTGAACGGCCCTTAAAGTCTTGGACAAACACCATTGCGTTGGACTGTAGGCCAATGACAGGCTTGAAACACTTGACATAAACAGCCATTGGCGGCTCTTACCAATCTCAATCTCAGCTGCTTCAGACCATCTCTCCTCCAAAATATTTGACACAGCGCAGAGGTATGAACCAGCAGTTTCTGCACTGGCATTTTCTATCTAAACAAAGAAGACCAAATGCAAAACATGATTATTTTAGGCAGCTTACAACTTCCACAAAGTGTGCCACTGAGTCAATCTTGCCTAAATTTAAAAGCAATGACCTGTGTAACCCGAAACCAACTTGCACATAAAAATGAATTAATAGGATAACAAAACAGCTAAAAACAAAGAGTGTCACAGTAGCCTCACCATGAGTGTTTCTGTAGTCTTTTTAGCAAGGATGCATCCGTTTCTGTACCACTGGTAGGCAGGCGCAGGCTTTCCAAAAGCTGTGCATTTGAGAGTGATAGTCTCCCCTGGTTTTACTGTTTGGCTTTTTGGTTGAATGACTATATGAGGTTCCCCTCTCCATGAGCGAGAAACACCTAAACACAATGCATCACGTTATCTAACAGATACTACAGGCTTAAAACGGACACATTGAGCAAAATCTTACAAAATAAATCACCGTTAAGCCAATGTCAGTCTCAATATAATGCATATCTGGATGAATAATAACAAGGGGTTCATGGACTTCAGGCCAGATGTTTAATACAGATCCTAATAAAAAAGCTTAATGACAAGACGAGATAATGGAAAGTACCTGGTTCGTCTAGGATTCGCACTTTTACCCATTCTGTGAACTGATAGTTCAAGAACAGGTCGCTCACTCTACAAATATATTTTCCAGATCTCTGGAGAGTGACGGTGAGCTCAGGCTCTGTCCCACCTTCCACCTGAAAAGATGAAGCATAATGTTATTTGATACATTTTGGTATATATTCTTCACAATATTGATAGAACTATTTATAAATTGAAAAAAAGTGTTGGGGAAAGTTACTTTTTTAAAGTAATGCATTACAATATTGCGTCACTCCCTAAAAAAGTAAATAATTGTTACGTTACTTTCCATAAAAAGTAACTTAAGTTACTTTTGCTTTACTTTTTCTCACTTTGGCTGGGCTTGCTTTGACTTATAAAAAAAAAAGTTCAGTTTTTGGCTAATGTAAGGCCCTGTCACACACTTTTACTTCAGCAACAAAAACAAAACAATTAAACACAAATGTGCTGTGTAACTAAAATCATTTTGGCTTATTAATATGGCTGAATTGGATCATCAAGTGTCAGCAGCACCGACATTGGTTAATAAAGTGAGATTAAATACATAAAGTATATTTGTATTATTTAACATAATTAATAATTCAGGTTTGAGCAATATTCTGAGTTTGCATTTCACTGTTTCTATTCATTTTGAGGAATACTGAATCTGTTTTTGTGCAAGTGAGATGAATAAATGCATGTTCACATTCAGTCTAGATCTACAATGACCATCATGTTCACACACAACACTTCTGCACTTACTCCTTATTGCTCGAAATTTAAAAGTACCGCGTTACTTTACTCATTACTTGAAAAAAGTAATCTGATTACGTAGCTCACATTACTTGTAATGTATTAAACCCAACACTGGATATAAAGTGTACAAACCTCTGACTGTTGTTTATCAAACCACTGATACTTCAATGAACCAGTGCCTATTGCTCGAACACTTAAGGTCACCTCATGGTTTGGTGGTACACACACAGACACTGGCTGCTGCAGAATAACAATTTCTGCCCAAAAAAATATATAATTGTGTATATATATATATATATATATATATATATATATTAGACAGTAGACATTCATAAAGGGGCAAACATTATATAATAGTTAGTTACACATAAAAATACTAATATACACACCAGTTAGCATGACTGTCTGCGCTACTCTTTAGTGTGGAAGGGCCTAGACCACAATAGTGCTGCTCTTTTAAGGTAGTCAGTCATTTCAGAATATTACCACCTGTGTAAAAAGAAAACAGATGTATGAATAGTGGCCATAACAACAAGAGTGGCATTCAAAATCCAAACAATGATTCATGGAGATTGGTTAAGCAATCCAGTGTTTAGAAGTTAACACCGTGTCCAAGGATTAAATGTTTTAAAAGAAAACTAAACCTATCTTGATTTCAACAGTGTTTGTCCAGTCAATCCATGCAGAAGTCTTAATAAAGAGAGTGTGTCAGCAACTTTGAAATTCCTAGGTTTATGATCTATTGTTTTGTCAGTGATTAGAATGCAGAAATTTAGGTTAGGTCTTAAAAGTTAAAAAGGTCTGAAAACTGCATTCTTCCAAAAAGAAACAACTGCTTCAATACAATAAAATACCTTCCTTAATGCATTAGGAATTATATCACCTTCAATTATATCACCTTATGAATTTTATGTATATATAATATTTAAGTAATTCTCTGACATGAGACTGGGGCAAGTTGTCACCCTTTTACTAGTAAATTTACTTTTGAAAGTAAATTTCTGAATCCTGTTGTCCCATACTATACATTGAAGCATAGCTACAAAAAAATATTGAATCATTTTTGCTCTCGAAAAAAAAAAACTATACAGTTCTATATTAGGCATGTTGACTTTTTGTAACAACGTACCACCCATTTTTGGCAACAGATATTTCAATTAATAAATTGTATAAACTTTAAACAACTTGCCTCAAATTATATTTTTTTGAAAAATACTCCTGTACTGAAAGCACCGTTCAACCTTTCAGTTAAAATCTATCTTCATTACATGGATGGCTCGTGTCTGAATGAATGTATGTCAGTGTGGTTTACTTGTTTACAGTGGCTAGAGGAGAAAAAGAATATCTAGACTATATGGACATTTACATTTTTTTGCGGAAATAATTCACAAAACGACTCGTTTAAGAGTGTTTTGAACTTTGAACGTTTGACTCAAAAGCTTAAAAGTTCCTGAGGCATAACCATTTGTAATAACTTCCCTAAAAGTGACAACCAAACAACCTCAGACGGTAACATCATCTAGTTTGTGGCGTCGTTCGGTGTTACACTCACCTGTCCTAGTGCTCATTGCCGACAGCGATCACTCTTCCTTCCTAAACCTCCTCATGCAAACAAGCACAGAGCGTCAGCTGTATCGACGTGTGGATATTCAACATGATACTAATAAAGTTTGGCTGAAAAATGAATGGTTTCCCGTAATAATGACAGACTGGCCCTCCCACTACCGCTGTGCTCAGTGTAGTTGCGCCCACAAACATCTGCACATTGAGCAGCAGGTACAGTAGCCTACCTTGAAAATATATATTTATCTATTCTTCTTCGAGTTAATAGCAGGTTGACGCCATATTGAAAGTAATTAAAAAGCTGGAAAGATGATTGATTATTGAGCCTGACATATATGATTGGTTTAAACTTAATTTGGTAGGTCATTTGAGTTTACTAGAAATTACATAACTTTTTGTATACAGTAGAATAATTTAAGATATAAAGTTTTTATTGAATATTTTTATTTCAGGGAAATGTTATATTCATACATGTATGTGCCTTAAAACAAAGCCGTTGTTTTCTGTTTTTCCAAAAAAATAAATCTTTAATACATTTCAACTTTGAGTTTAAAAATAAATAGAAAAAAGACCCTGATATCTAAGCTGTTGTTTTTGCTTATTAGACAGTCATTTTATTTTTGTGCTGTTCTTTGGATCACTTTTTGTATTTTATGACCTTGTTGTATTTGTGTTTTTAGCAATCTGATTAAAGGTAGCCTACACTAACTTTTTTGTTGTTCAAAATGAAATAAAAAAAATGAAATAATGAGTCCATACATCATCAATACTTATTCCAAAACTTGTTTGACCTGTTGGGATGGTTTTCGCGGGAAATAAATTACGCTGCATGTGCGTGTCTCGCCATATCCGTAAATATAGAAAAGTTGGATCCATGTGGGAGTGGCATAATAAGATAGTTAATTTGGCAGAAAAGTTTGACATTAAACATGGTAAATCTCGAACCTCCTGGGAATCACACAGGAGAGTATGTTGGCAAAAAGAGAACACACTGATCCATAGAAATTTATTTCATTATTTAATTGTAGATCATGGAAAGTGACAGAGCTCGTAATAAAATGAGAATAATGGCTTGGCTTTTCGGAGATTGCATAACTGAGGGATTTAAAATGTTGTAAAAGCGATGAGGGGATGGCGTTTTTATCACTAAACAGGTGAGTAAGGTATTTTATTGATCAGATAAATTTCCATGCAATAGGTGTGTTCGACTTAAAGTGGCTCAGCAATCGGTGGCAATCGGCTGTCATAGGCCTATGACAGCGCTGCTTCAAGTCGAACACACCAGATATCTATTGTGAAGGGTCATATTCATTCCCAAACCACAACCACAACAATGTTCTTCCGCAAAATACATGCAGTTTCGTTATATAGTGTACCTTAAATGATGATATTATTCGAAGAAAATGAAAAAGTGGTTTTTTTTTTTTTTTTTGCCCCTAAGTTTGTTTCACAAATCTCTAATTTGGTGTCCAATTCGAATCCCAAGTTAATTATTTGTGAATTGAGTGTGACTTAATTGTCCATGTGCAACACTCAACATCTCTATTATTTATATTTGTGAGGATGTGTGCCATCTGTTGTTTGAATGATATGTTTGTGAGAGTGGTTGCTTGACAGCATGTAATCGGAGCCCTTTTATGATTGGAAAATGATGCAATGACACATGACCGGTGGGAAAAGATTGTTGACTGTTATGGGGAGGGTGTACAGACAGAATGACATAGAGGGGGTTGTCCTAATTAAACCTGGGCCATGCTTTGAGCTTGTCTGAAGAGCTGTCATCAAGATCACTTGCATCAGATCACTGCACTTTCACCCGACATACCATACTGGTTGAATTTGGCTACATTTACACACATTAGCCAATTTCTATGTACATTCACACATCTCTAAACAGTGTGATCATTCAGTCAGAGTGAGAATTACATGATGTCATGAAGCTGACAGATAAGGAATGATTAAGGAAGGTGATATTTATGTTTTTTCTGTCTTTTTCTTGGACGCTTGCTTTCAAGTGGCTTCAGAGCAATGGCTAGTTGTGGAAAATGTGATGTGCTCTTGCGCCTATTTGTAGGCCTGCTATAAATAGGTTCTTGCTGGCAACACATGCTCTGCTGTTACTGGGACATCAGACTCCAAAGAACAGGCAAAGAAACATGCTAATGGTAAGTTCTTTAAGTGTTATACTGTAATATATTTTTGTCAAGCAATTCAAAGTTAGTTGGTAAACGTGTTGGTTGAAATCAAATACAAATGTTCATGTTTGACCAAATTAAAAGTAACAAACACCATTTCCTATTTATAACTACTCTGTACAAATGGTTTACTTGTTGAGACTAGTTGTCCTCAAAACAGAACGGTTCTGCCTAAACAATTTTTTTTAAATTCCAATTTTATATTATTAATGTTAGTACTTTTTCAAGTGTTTGTATTTCTCAATTTGAATTGATTTGTATTTTTTTCCCCCTTTTCAGTAGTTCTCCAGTTAGTTACAAAGTGGAACTCTGCATTTTGGTTCCAAAAGCCTGGAGACAAACCTCAATTTTATTCTACAGAAATATTGAAACCCCACTTAAAGAGGGTTTTTTTGGACTGTTGAAGTTATTTGTTTTGGACAATGACATCCAGGAGGCCCATGACCCGCTCTTACTCTGGAAATGGGAGATCGGGAAACCAAAATGGGGAGGATGTTTCATCGGCAAACGGAAGGTCAGAGAGCCGCAACTACCTCTCCAACGTTAGGCCTGAAAACAGGTAAAAAAAAAAAATATGAATGTTCAGTATGAGTGAGTGTGTTTGTTCTGCCTTATTTGATTATGAAAAATTTAAAAGTCTTAATTAAAGCCTTAAAAAGTCTTAAAACCTCCAGTTTAGATGTTAATTTTGCGGTTTATGAATATTAAATATTAAATGTGATAACATAATATCAAATGTGCATTAATTATATAATATTAATAGTATGTCATTTGTTTAAGAGTGGCTTTAATTGGAACATAATTATTGGTTTGCTACATTTGCCTTTTCTGACACTTATTTTATTAAATAAGATGTCATTTTAGCATACAGTAATTTGAATGCAATCACAAAATCTGTTTGTCATCAGTTGAATGGTTTTGATTTTGCTGAAATACTGACGTAACTGTGGTTACCACATTGGTTGTATTGTGTTTGCTCAACTCTGGCTATGCCAAAAGAGACCACAACATTCTCACCATTAGCAACAGCATTTACTGTATGACTGCATTACAGTTGCTCCTGGCTTAATCAGTGTCACACAGTGAAAGTCCTTAGTTTAGATATTCTTGTCTGATGAGTGTCCCTTTGATTTGCCTCTTTTCTAAATAGCTTTTCAACTCACAGTTATTCAAACTACAGGCCTTCGAGGTAATAAAAGCTTCTCAAAAGGTCAATCCTAATCTAACTACACTTCAGATAACTATTTCTGTTCCCCAACATGCCTTTTTTCCCTTTGGTTTGTTTTACAATCTCAGAAATACCCAATTTGCATTTGATTTGCACCGTGATTATGACAGTATTGTGCTTGATGTATAAATCTTTTAATCCTCCAAACCCACCCACCCAAATAACCACAGAATTATTGTACTTGGAAAAGTGCACTAAAAATGTTTCCACAAATGTCATCAGGCTAAAATAATATCCTCTCACCCTGTTAACACCCTGCAGCTTTTCCTCAGTCACGTCAATAATTCTAATTTTATATTATAATACTGATATTAATAATACAATATGTCAATGCTATCTCCTTGCTGAATTGCTAAATAATTTATTGATTCATATAGTAATGTTTGGAATAATTTGATATAATAAATACCTGCTTTTCACATATATGATGATTGTTGAGTTGACACACTGTATTTGCCATCTCTAGGAGTACATTATGTACCGTCATGGCTCATTTGACTGAAGAA